AGGCACCAAAAGCTATAGGGAAACCCTGTCTCAAAAAACCAAAAAAACAAAAACAACAACAACAACAAAAAAAAAAAAACGTTCAGTGGCCTGGCAGTGGTGGCGCACACCTTTAATCCTAGTGCTTGGGAGGCAGTGGCAGGTGGAGCTCTGTGAGTTCCATGGCCAGCCTGGTCTACATATTTAGTTCCATGACAGCCAGGGCTACACAGAGAGACTCTGTCACAAAACAAAACAAAACAAAACAATCAAAAAACCCAATCCCCATTCCCTTCCCCCCAAAAATAGAAAAAGAAAACAAACAAACAAACAAAAAACCCTTCAGTGGCTGCTCTTTCTAATAGGGGGAGAAATCCAAATTTGCAGACATACTGAACAGTCTAGCACTTACCTGCCCTAAACACCTCTACTCAGTCCACATTCCAGAGCCAGTAACCTCCCCTTCTTTATTCCTCACACAAGCCACGCTGTGCCGCTCTGTGTGGACTACACTTTCTAGCTCTTCAGTTCCTTATGTTCTCTGGATTTGCCAGGTCTCACCTCCCTATTAGTCGGGGTTCTTCAGAGGGTCATGATCAATACAGTGCAGAAGAAGGGGTTCATCAACTGGCTTCTGTGGTTAGGGGCACAGGAGTTCTGCAACAGCTACCTGTCAACCGGAGAGTTGAGGAAAACAATAGGTGTTCAGACCTAGATTCTGGAAACCTGGGCACAAGAGAGGCAATGATGCGGTCCTGACTTGTATGCCCCCTGGAGTGCCATCAGTCTGCCTTCAAATGCTGGTGAACCTGGAGACTGACGCCCTTGCACTACGGCAGTAACAAAACGATGCATGTGCTCACAAAGGGGCTGACAACTGTGTGAGCCTGACGTAGGCATGGCATGCACGAGCTTCCCTCCAGGCCTTTAGCCTATTTGATGAGTCCATACTCAGCAACCATTTTATGCTTTCATTTTGCTGACTGACCCCCATGCTCTCTGGAATCACTCTCAATGATATAACAGAAGTGGGTTTGTCTTAGTTGAAAGGACCGAGAGAGAAGACGCCTTCACAGGCCTCAATTTCAGTTTCCTGAGGCTGAACAAGCAGTTTCTGAAAAAGAGCCATGAATAAAGGACCATCAGTCTCCAGCACCACTGACAGCAAGGACCAGAAGGCCTGGTACCTGCAGTAGTAGGCCGGAGCCAGCATCACAGTCAGTAGCTACTAGACCAACCAGCCTACACAGCAACTGAAGGACAGGGTCTGGGCCTTGTCCCAGTCTGTCAAAAAATGGAAACTGTAGCTCTGATCAACCCCTAACTAGCCTTACCAATTAGAATGTACTGATATGATTGCCACTTGCTTAAGCCAATTATAGATAAAAATGACCTGTCTTAGGATCTTCCTGCGGCTGTGAGCTCCTTGGGGTCATCATCGTCATCTTGTATCCATAGGAGATGGCAGGCCCCAGCATGCTGGAATAATAAATGCTCTTGCTGATGGCATGTGTGGATAGTGGTCTTTTATGGGACTTCTCCAGGACCCTAATACTAGTCAGTTTTTCATTGTTGGGATAAAATACTTGAGAAAAACAACTTAGAGGAGGAAATGTTCGTTTTGGCTCTCATTCAGAGGATTCAGCCATGATCAGCAGCATTGTTGCTACACCAGCCTTTGGCGAGGCCCGACATCATGGCAAGGGGCTGTGGCCGAGTGCAGTGGGGCTGCAGGGCAGAAGAGAGAACAAGAGAAGATGTTGGCATCAAGAAAGGTACCTTCCTCATGATGTGGTTCTTCCCACATGGCTACATGTCCTCCTTTCCACCGTCTCCCAAGAATGCTACCAAAGTCTGAATCCAAACGCTAGAGAGATGACTCAGGAAAATAGACCCTGGATAGACAGAGTGAGAAGTTCAATTTGATCCCTGGGACTGGTATTAAAAAAGTTGGCATGACAGTGCATGCTTGGCATGGCAGAAACAAGATTCTGGGTTGGCTGGCCAGTCAGGCTAGCTGAATTGGCAAGCTTAAGAGTCAGTAAGAGACCTTGTCTCAAACAGAATAGATAGAGACAAAGAAATACACACACACACACACACACACACACACACACACACACACACAATGAATCCATCATTGGATGAATCTACTGCTCAGGTTAGAGCCATCATAATCCAGCTATTTTCTAAGATCTTATTTGCTGACAATCTACCTTTTAACATGGGCCCTTTTATATGCAAACATTGTAATAGCTCTTCACCTCTCTTCTAGGTGTTTCTCAATCAAGTTGACAACCAAATACAGTCATGACATCTGTTAGATCTCAAACTCAGGACAAATGGCTGAGATGCCTATATAACATTTCAAAAGCAGACTCTGGCCCCCAGTCTCCTCCAGGTCCTATTTACTAGTCCCTGTTACAGAGTCATCCTGGCTGACATACCAGCCTCCTACCCTAAACTCTCTAGCCCATGGGCATCCCTTCCCTCTGCTTCTCTGACTCCTATATGGATGTGTGTCCTGTTGGATCTCCTGGGTCCCTGCTTGGCCTCTTGCTTTCTTGTTCTCTTGGCCTCTGGGTTGCCAGGTGGTCTATTTGTTCCTTCTCTCTTCTCTTCCCTTCCCATCTCACTCCCCACCCCACCTTATGGCCCAGCTCAGTCTAGAATCTTCCAGATAACTCTGGCTGTTTTCTCCCTCATATCTACAACAAACCTTCTCTTCAGTCTGTACCTAGGACCATCATGGCCTTCATTTTTTTTTCATTCAACACCTTCTCAGTCTGATAATCCTCTCCCACTTTTTCTGCCTTTGCATGTTTGCTTATGGTAGTTAAAAAGTTGTAAATTTACATGTAAATGTTTTTTTTCTTGTTTATTGTCTGTACCCCACTGCCCCCCTTTCTGGACCAAAAGCTCAATTAAGTTAAGGCAAGGGGTGCCTTATCTCTACCCGGCTGTTCCAGTCCTCTTTATGTTGCTGTGCTACAATACTCAGACCAAAAGCGCTCCCTGGGCACAGTCCACTGCTGAGGGAAGTCGGGGCAGGAACTCAAGGAAGGAACCTGAAGGTGGGACTGTTTGCCATTGATGCAGCATTACTTCCAACCAGGGAACTCAGCCACAGCCAAGGAAGGACAGCAGGAACCATGGACGACGCTGTCTGGTGCTCTCAGTTTTTTTTTTTTTTTTTTTTTTAAATTTATGCCCACAGACAGCCTGATGAAGGCAATTCCTCAGTTGAGGCTTCTCTCAGATGACTCTAGGCTGTGCCAAGGTGGCAATTAAGGCTAACCAGAACATTGGCCCAGC